ACCTCCATAAGCAGGCGTTTTAGCGGCGATCATTCCACCGTGGTTGCCATGTGTCGGCTGCTGGAAAGTCAAAAATGAATCATGTTTCGGGACTAGCTGAAGCAAACTTTGACGCGCAAGAGAATAGCAAAACAGATCATGACCATAATTACCTCTCGCTTGCACCTAGGACTGGTTGAGATGATGAAGGTGGTCACGGTGGAAACGCCCACCCTCTATGGTGTAGACGACGCTTTGTTCCATTAACTTCCCTCCTTTCTCTTCCAACCGACGTTGACCTTGACTTTGGCAGAGAGATGTACTAGAACTCCGTACCGCCAATGGTGTTGGTTTTTGTACGAATTGAAATTGTAGCTCGTAATATTTCATGCCGGCGGGTATTCTTTCAATAGTCTCGCAGAACGTGCTTTTGTACCACTCGAGCGTGCTGTCAAGGACGCCATGGAGGCATGGACCCTTCGCACGGTGTGTGGTAGGTCCCATAACTTCCAGGGGATCCAGCTTATCACATAGGTGCTTATTGTCATTGCCAGGCAGGGAGAAAGTGAACTTACATCTGCTCAGCTGCAAGGAGGACAGGTTTACTCTCCAGTCAGAGACATGGAGGAAACATGGAGGGGGGTGGGTGGTACTGGTGGTACTGTACATAGCCATACGCAACATTACGCTTACGGCAGTTCGCAGACCGTGGGACCCCTGCGGCCGATCGTTCAGTGCAGCCACGTGAAAGCAGACCGCATCGCATCGAGATCGTTGCCGACCGAGGATGGCCTCTGCTTCTTCCTTTGGAACCTGGCCCTCTTCATCCTCAACATGTACTGATCAAATCTCATCGGCCTTTCGAGTTTGTTGTCGGCTCCGGATCCAGAGTCCTTTCAACTTTCAATCCGAGTGAACCTCAATTTTATCTCGTATTCAGATGATGTAATGGCCAATGCATACAAAGACAAGGTCACTGCAGTGCTTTTCTGCCAGCAATCATGCACTAAATATGTACCACCACTATCTCCATCACCACCACCACCACCACCTTTCTCACGACGGGTAGAGGTGCCGTAAAAGTCCTGCAGTAAACTGCATTTTATCATGACAGCTGCCTGTAAGCTGATTCGTCTGATTGGATTGAATCGACTCCAAAATCCCCCATTTATTGGGTGGGCCCCACTTTCCGGCTGTTGGTCCAAGCTGTAAGAACTCGCAAATTCTGAGTTAAACAGTCAGTCAACCAAAAAATCACCACTTCAATCGTTCAAGTGAGGACGCCGCTTCTTCCCACCCTCTTGGCTCGGCCATAATTGCCAACCCAGCGCCCTACAACAGCTCGGGGGCCTAGAATTGGGAGGTGTCAACCACCTGGCTCCTTTCATTTTGACTTCCATTGTTCCCGCCGTCTCTCTCACTTTCCGAGTCTCATCATTTGTTTGCTACTTACTTGCATCCGAAATCAGCCTTGCAAACCTGGTCCATTATGTTGGACTGTATCTTTCCCATCTGAACCCATTTAAATCCGCTAGATCAAATGGGAAGAATGAAAACTAGATGGCGCTGTCATGGCTGTAGTAAGGTCACGGAGGACCTCGGCACGATCTACGCTCGAGTTGCCCAACTCAGCTCCTACAATTGCCTAAGTAGGACAAGCTCGGCTCGGATGACTTTGGACTGAATTTTTGCAGTAACTGTGCCGCTATTAATTTGTCGCCTGTTCTAAAGACATCCTATCCCGCTTATTTGAACAATAAGTCAGTAGTAGAGGGGCCTCTGTTTGTTGTTATGCCTCTGACTATTTAAGATAGTGGTTGGCGATTTTATATGTCTGTTAATATTATTCTGGACGATGTATCGGGGATAATGGATCGCAAGCTGGAGCTTAACCGGGCGGTACGCATTAGGAAAAAGAAGCCCAAGAAAGAGATGGATACAAATCGCAAATTTTGGCGGAGCCAGCTATCCGATGCGCTAGATCCCTTAAAGTGGGGGAACTAAGCACCTTTCAACTCTGGTACCTGACATTTTGTCTTCTTGTACCACTATGGTGTTCTGGACATGGAGAGTATTTTTTCGAACACGGGTAAAAGTTGTTGTGGCATGGCAGCAGTGACTCCATCGGTGCCACTGGATGGAAGGGGTTCTTTCCCCCCTCCCTTTCCAGGCTCCCTGGTTCCGATTGAACCTTTCCACCCTCCCAGCCGGCTCATCAACAGTAAGGGAAAAAAAAGGTCAAAAAAAGGCGGCCTCGTGGCGGTGGACTCCTGTCGCAGCAGATCATCTCTCCCTTGAATGCTTGGCCGTTTCCAGACGGATGACCTGCCTTAGTTGTGGCTTCTTAGGTGACGATGTACCCTCCTTTTTGCCTTCACTTCAGGCTCCAAATCTGATTTCGATCTCTCTCGCTCCTCCGATAGTCTACCAGTTTACCATCCAAGCGATCTTGACCTGTAAATCCAGCATGCCAGAGTGAGCGTCAGTGGCTGTCACCCGAGCGGATGGCCTACCGGATTTGCGACCACACTACGTCTGACCAAGGGTGAATAATGCCCTGTTATACGACCGGGGGGTGAATTGTTGATGGACCGTTGCGGTCTAAGTGTATGCCCATACTTGAGGACGCAATGCCAAGCGCCATCCAGCAGCATATGATACCTGCTGTATCATCTGTATCTCGCAGTAGTCCCCAATGAAACCCCATACATCCATCACTCCGTGTCACATAGATCTAGCAATATTGGACTCTTGAGAAGGGGATAGGAGATCATGCTACATTGAATGCAGCAATAGAAGGAACTTACCTCGGCGATGGGAATCTTGAAGTTTGCGTAGGGATGAGCAGCAGAAGGAGATAGAATTGATCCTCTGCCTTAGATGACGGTTGCCCTCTGTGATTGACTGCTCGATTGCCCTTTTAAACAAGGATACTACGTGTGAGCTGCATCAGATCATTCTTCACTGCTTTTTCACTGCTTCCATTTTTAAACTTTCTCCCTTTTCGCTCGGCGCTCTATTTTATTTCATTTTAGCTGATTTTTCTTCTTTCTTTTTTTTACACTGGCATTATCTCCATCCACTATTCAATTAGCACACGTCTACTACGGGAATTGACTTCTGTGGAATGACCCTGGGTGTTATCCTTAAGACTAGTAAGTATGAACCACCCATGCATGCACCTGTCATTAATTTATCCCAGCTTTTGCCGGGAGAATAAATGGATTGTTTGAACTCTCCATATCTTCTTGACTTCTTCACCTACTGTAGAAAGTGTCTCCACCGACTGTTTCCAGACCCGCCCCGGGGTTCCGCCGACTAGTCAGAACATATGGTCGATAGCTCCCGCGCCTAAAAAAGTCGGCGAGTCGGTCATCATCATTATCCATCATCAATTTCCAACCCGATCCAGTTCTAGTGCCAAAAAATCACTTGCTTGCATCGCTGCACCACACGCTCCAAGCCCCAAGGAGTCGGAGTCTGTTCTGCCCTTTCATCAATGAATCAATCAATCATTCATTCAATCAATCAGACTTCCCAGTTGTTCCCATACTCCCCAGTGCCACCGTTTGGTTCCTGCCACTAGTCCGAGGTTCTATTCCTACTACGACCAATCGAGTATTACTCCGTATTTTGCAACTTACTCCAGTGTCCACCCTCTTTCTGGCTTCTTTCTAGTCTAGGCTTCTTCTCCTTCAACCGCCGGCCCCCTCCTTTCTCTCTTCTCTCTCTCTCTCTCTTTCTCTCTTCTCTAAATCTCTTGTTTCCTTCCCCCTCTTTCTGACTCGGAGACTACCGTACTAAACCACTGCGACTCTAACCAAGTACATTACTACCACCACCACCACTACTGTTAGTACTGTACTTATTTAGTCCGGCTCTGGTCGTCCATCTTTCTTGGCTGGCTCTTTTCTCAACAGCCATTTCGCCCCTCTTCATCATCCCCGCAGCTTCGCTTTTGACTAGGCCGGTCACGTTAAGCTTCTGCTGGTTATCGGTCGGAATCTTTGCCCTAACTCTTCTTCCTGCCCAATTGTTCGTCTCCTCACTCCTGTGCCACGTTCCGCTGCACCGCCCGAGCGTTTTATTCTCGGCCATCAGGTAAGCTCCCTGTGCGATCCATTGTCTGCAAACCATGCCCCAGAACCATTGGTCCTGTGGTTCATAATTTCTGTCCACCCCCCCTCCCTCCGTCTTCCCCATGTGGTTGACCTTCACGGATTGCTCATTTTTCCTATTAAAATTTAGCGCTCCCTTACCTCTCTTCCTTTCCCTTTCTGAAAGGTCCCTTTTCTCTTCCTTGTACATTCTCCGTGTCCTCCATAAGGATTAACTGCCCTCGTTTTACTCTTTCTACATGATCCGTCCCTGGATAGGTACGCTGGCTGTTTCCCCGTCTGCTTGACTTGTTTCCGACATCTGCCCCGGACCTTGGATGCGTCTCTGCGTGATCAATGAGCTCGCCTTCTCTTTTTTTCTTCCCATTCAAGTACTTATCTCTTTGTCGCATAGTGACCGTCATCCGCTACACTAGTGTACCTTGCGTCTCTACTCGCCCAACGTGAACCTCCACGAGATTCGAGACTTGACTTCTTACGTGGTCTAGTGACAATCGTTGTTGGCAATATTTCTCTCGGGCAAGCGGGTTCTGGAGGGAATTCGGCTCTTTGCGAAATAAAATTCAAATCCTAGAGGAGGAACAGAATTTCCGAGTGGTCCCCTGAACTCGAAAGGCGAACGTCTCTCGATCTGGAGCCGCTTCCCTACGCGATCCTCGAACGGTACCTCGATCGACACCGATTCTCGGCATTTACCGCATCTATCGGCTATCCAATATAAGACGTGTGTTCTACGATTGTTTCCCGATACGTCGAACATGATATAGTGAGGGAGGTACAATATTTCGGATCACTAGTCTTCGCAAAAGTACTTCGTCACTCTTTGAGAAATATCCACACCCACATACGTTCTCTCGCTCTTTCTCTCGCCCCCTACTCTTTCAACGTCTTGAAAGCCACACAATGGAAACCACCCTCACACACCGGCCATGGGAGCCTGCCACAACGGGACCGCAGGGCATCGCAACCACCCAGACCCTGCCTTCGATTTCAACGTTGACAGCGAGCATGACGGGTATTCCGACTCAGGCGGAGAAATCGCCTGGAAATGCCTCGTTAAACACAATCGAGCGAGATTCAGGGAACTGGTCTATGCCTCAGAGTACAAGTAGGTGGCTTGATGTTGATCGCGTACGTAATCCATGCTGACCGCCCACGCCAGGATCTTCGACCTATTCCACCGCGACAAACGGCACCGGAAACTACCCCTCCCTTTCATTCCTCACATCCTCACAACCGTCCCCAAATCGCGTCTCCCTTGTCTCCGACCGATCTCCATACCCCAATGACCTCTCCAGTACTACTACCCCTTCTTCAGCTGGAGCTCAGCCATCCCCCAATTTCGGTCACGCTCAACCCCCGACGACACTACCTTCCATAAACCAACATTACGATGCGCCTTCCCAGAGAGCCAGCATCGCGGAACCGGCAGAGTCGCGACGGAGCAGCGTGGATAGCAGAATGAATCAGGGAATCAGCTCTCTCGCCATCAACCCGGCTTCCCCGTACCATAGCACGAACGCCTCGCAGTCGTCAATTGTTTCTGGCCTACAACGGGAACGTGGGATTTCGATGGATGTTAATATGAACAACACCTACCGGGGTCCTCGCTATTCTGCCGGACAGCCTCTTTCTCCCCTTGGCCCAAGAGCTGGCGAGCATCGTAGCTTTGCGGCTGGCCGCACTGCACCTGCAATCTCGTCGAATCCTCGGTCAGAAATTTACAATGCGGAGGCGCCCACCGCGGGTCTCGCGTATGCTTTCCCAGATCCAGATGTCGCCCGGTCGAATTCAGTTTCGTCTACCGCCGACAAACCTCTTAACGGCCATCAGTTTACACGGAAAGGAAGCACGGCAGAGTCTCTGGCCAGCAGTGTGTATTCCGATGCACGCCTACCCCGTGGACAGCATGGTATGTTTGATGCACTGGTCTTGAGATGTCCCTCTTTGCACGCATGTTTCTAACTCTCAGCAGAACTTCCTCAAAATGTACATCACCATACACTTCAGCATAAACAAGTCCGGGGTTTGATCGGCGAGGCGGAGGCGCATGGCGGCAGCACTCCCTACAGCCGCACTCCAGAATTGCGCGTCACCCACAAGCTAGCTGAGCGGAAGCGCCGGAGCGAGATGAAAGACTGTTTTGAAGCCCTACGCGTCCGTCTTCCGCAGAGTCAGAACAACAAATCTAGCAAGTGGGAGACTCTCACTAGAGGTAAGCAGTAATCCGCCAACTTGTTACTTCATTCCCCACTAATGACATCAATAGCGATCGAGTACATTAGCCATCTGGAAAAAATGCTCAACAACGCTCGCCGCGACAACGACGTTCTGAGGAGTGAGGTTGATGAATTACGCGCGCAGCTAAACCAGCAGCAAGCCAATGGACAGTCGCGCCAGGCGTCAATATTCGAGCATCACACCATCTCAGCTCCGCAGACGAACGGTCAGGTACACGGTCCGATCTACCCCAGCTACGCCCAAGGCTCCGCCATGGCGCAAGAGCAGCCTCGTACATTGCCCCCACTCATGAATGGGTCTGTTGCTCCTATGCAAGGCGTACAGTACACCGATGATCGACGGTAGCTTGAAAAAAAAAATCATAGCGCACCGAAATACACCCATTGATGGAAGCCCTGCTCTGAATGCTTTGGTGATGATTTCTCGGCGATCGCACCCTTTTTGATTCTGCTTTGCAGAGGAAAGTCTTGAGCGGCTTTCTTCGTTCTGTGAAAATTCGCTCTCATTCAACATATACATATTTCCTGGATCTAACCGGCAAGCTTCTCTGGCTGGCGTCAGATTTCCTCCGAATCTGCTGCTTTCTCCAACCTCACTGTGTCTTTTTTACTATTACTTCTTTTCGCCTCCAAAGATTACCCCCGCACCGCATGTTTCGATATCTCGCCTCGCGTCTCCTTTATCGCCTCTTATGTCTGGAATACTTCCCTATATCAGGGAATTCATGTGTCTATCCTTGGTTTACGGTTGGATCGGTTATCGACGTTGCATCCTCAATACCCCTTGGTTGTAGAAAGGAGGCAACATTTTTGTGACATGAGCTTTGCGCATATGCCTTCTTGATATCCTCATGGCCTGTTCATTATGTCTATCTGTGTGACCATTGGTTACAGACTCGGAGATGAATGAAAAAATTCCTACCGCTGCGCAAGCCGATTTAGAGGAATCGGCAGCGATATTTTTCTTAAACTATTTCCTGTGTTTGTCTACTTTCGTAAGGAGTAGTAATTAGTAGTCTAAGTGTATCGCAGGAAATTTCTGGCGCATAGGAGAGAGACAGACATGGTACCTGAGTAATGGGCGCAAGCTCCACTGTTGGGGAAGGTACCTACGTAGTACTGTACTATTTTTGTCACCCAGCAAAGCGGGTCCCTGATTGGGTGGGCCGCTGACAGTCTGCAACATGGTCTAAGGGAGTTAGCGCTTGGGCGGGTGTCGTGCATCGGCGGCTATACAACTTGCCCATCACCCATCACGCTTCATCCACAGCCAATCCTCAAATCACTCTGCAGGTTACCCTCCGTCCTGCAAAGTCCATCTGCTTCTTTCTATTCTTTCTACCCAGTCAGCGCTTCGTTCGAACTGATCTATCTGCAGCAGATGTCGCCGGAAACCATGGATACTGGTCGACTTGCGATTCTGCACAGGATTTGGCCGGAACAATGCGAAACAAGCTGTTTAGATCAAGGGTAGCTCTTCGGAGGAAGCTTTCTCCTCCCTCCATCGATCACCTCAGGTGACGAAGCTTTTACCATCATCGTACAGCTCTGAGAGTGTCTCTTGATTTCTTCTGGTCTCCATCCTCGTACAGCCTGGCCGGCCTGATGTGCCTTTCATGATTTCATAAATTCGTTGTTGGAGCTTGTCTCGCACACCTGTACTGCTCTCTTGGCACTCCATAATTCACATCCTGAGTTAGGGTGATTGTGGAAGATCTCTTTGCTTGTGTTAATGCTATTGTCGACATCATTTCATTGTTGCTTCCGACTCGCTGACCTCTGAAGACAACCAACTCTACCCTTTGTTCTTCTTCCAGAAAAGCCTTGGCCTGCATCAAAGAACGAAAGGACGACACCTCTCCCAATTGAACAGATACACCTCCCTCATATTCGGTAGAATTCCTCGCCTACTCTGCAACTACTGAGTGGTCAGAACTTGCATCAACAACAGTATAGTATCCCTACATACTTTGCAAATTAACTGAGCCCGCGAGTCGACATTCCGGGCCATACTATACGCAGTCCGGTGTCATGGCTTCTCGGAATCAGAAGCCACTGGCTGGACTGCTTATCCCTACTGCTCCAAACTTTCCTCTCTCATCACCGATCACAGAAGAGGTTCCCAGCCCCATCCCATCATCGCCGGACGACCACGAATTGTGGCGGAATCGCCCTTTCGCTCTCCTGAACAAAACAATCAGCAAGAATCCTTTCATTCGGAAGGCGACTTTTGATGATCAAATCCAAGGACAGGGTCATACTGGCCGTCTCTCTGGTGCAGGTGATATCGTACAAGGAGTGGTGCATGTGGAGCAAGGAGCTGAGCAGGGCTCAAGCAGAAGTCGCGGATTGAACTTGGTCACAGATTTCTCCAAACCAAGTACGACTGTACAGCACGAGGTGCCAGCACCAGTCTTCGTCGATCTGAACGACCTCAAAGCCCTTTCGCAGGTACGAGAGCAAGAAAGAACTACGGACGGTACCTCAGGGACTGTGAAGTCGGTAGTGCCAGGGTCATGTGCACCACAGTCTTTCGGGGTTGTCGAGCAGAAGACGATAGGCAAGGACGAGCTGTCGCCTTCTGATAGACATATTATGATCGGGGTTCGAATGCCATCCCATGGATCGAAGGACTCGCCTGATCAAAGGCCAAGGGAAAGAGATCGGATGCGGTTTTCACATACTCCACTTACACCTTCCATTATTGTGACTCCTGCCAAGGAAGATACATTTTGGGACGGATTCGAGCCGGCTCATCCCCGTCCCAGAGCGACATCCAGCATTTACTCTCAACCTACGCCATACCCCGATTATGACGATCATGATATACCGCCAGTGCCGGCCATCCCAGCCTTTCATGTCCGTGCGGATAATGAGAAGGCCAGCCCCGATTCCGCCTCTGTGAAATCTATAATGTCTTCAAGAAAACAGCGTGCATTTTCAACCGGAACTATCTTTGAGGAAGACAGTCCCAAGACCATAGGAAGACCAAGCTTGCTCTTAGTTGAGAAGGTGAAAAAGATCCCGGATCGACTGAGCATCAACACCGAAGCTACCCGGCAGTCGCAAGGCTGGTGGACGTACCTCATGTCCCCTCTCTTTCCCAAGACACCAGTCACCGCCGGAAGGCCTCCTGTGCCCAGTATCGCAACCCACTCCTCTGGACTGACGGACGAGTGGTGGGAGAAGGAAGTCTCGTACTTTTCGCCCGATACCCCGGATGCCGTTACAAACCCGCTAGATAACATCAACTCGAGTCCACAAAACCCTGATTCGGTTGAAGCTGAGCGCAATATGACATCCTTTATGTTTCCTGGCGAGCCAATTCAGGGCTCTGCTGCAGAGTATTATCAGGCATGTGCCCACGAACTGTTTAGCGGGCGTCCTTATTTCGAATGTGTTAATCATATTTGTTCGATCACCCCAAAAGCCAAGGTTGCGGCAATGATGACTGAATCACCTGCGGTGATCACTCAGGAGAAAGATCTTCTTATTGACGTGGATGATATGCCTGAAATTGAGAAACAACATCCACCTGGACCCTCCGATGCGGACACTGGTCTGCGTTCTGTTGATGGGATCTCCACTGTGGCTAAAAGCAGACAGAACCCTTTCCGTGATTCCGATGAACACAGCACTCTAAGCGGTCCTACATTGACTGGGTATCCTCAGAGTGAATATCCTTCCAGTGAGCATCCTCCAAGCAAGGACGCTCCAAGCAAGGATACACCAAGTGAGGTCGCACCTAGCGAGCGCTCTCCGAGTACCCAATCTCTAAAGCAGCAGCCCCAAACACAGAGCGCGAATGAAACCGCCGAAGAGGTGCCATCTGCGCCGGAACATCAAGAAGGGCCAAGGGCGGCACCGGCGGCCGTCGCTGAGGGCCATGTTGAGAAGCAAACCCCTTACCCTGTCTACCAGCCAATCATTCAGCCAATAATCCAACCAGCCATACAACCAGTGATGCTACCAGTTAGCCAGCCAGCTCCTGTTGTAGTCTCGCAGCCAATTCCCCAGCCAGCGCCTGCGGCGCCACCGACAGTGCAGAACTTTTACAATCACCCCGCCGTGGTTCCTTCCGCCGTTCTTATAGCTCCGCCGGAAAGAAGCTATTCGCAGTACATTCTACAGCCTGCATCGAATCCTGCTCCACAGCCGCAGCCTCCGGAGCCTGTGTCGCCTGCTTTTCAACGGATGACAGAAAGAGGATCAGTACCTTTGAGCGAAGTTCAGAACACACCGGCACCTGCCTATACCTCTTACCACCACAGCTCTGGCATCCTACCCCCACGCATAGATCCACACCCGCTTACACGGGAGGAGGTGGACTCAACCACGGAAAGACAGACAATCGAAGCGAAAAGACGGAGGCTAGAGAAGGAAGACGCTGTTAGCCGGAAGTTAGGTGGATGCTGGCGTGGTAGAGGCCCGGTTAGCAAGAAAGGCTGTTTTGGCAGGTCGGGACGAGAAGGAAGAGTTAAGCGTCGATGGTACTTGGCGATCTGCACTTCGTTCCTTATAATCGTCTTGCTCGCCCTCATTCTTGCCTTGACACTGACCAGGCAGGGAAGTACAACGCCGGTGCAATCCCAATGGCTGAACCTTACCGGCTATCCCCCCATGCCAACTGGCATTGCAACCATCGCTGGGCCGAATCTTTATGAACGAGTCCCCGGCTGCATTGCCCCATCTTCACTCTGGAGTTGTGCCCTTCCGAAGGAGCAGCAGTCCGGTAACAAGCCGTACACGGCCGATGAGCCAAACTTCCGCGTCGAAATCGAATTCCGCAATGGAACCTATCCGAACAGCACGACGATCGCCTCACGATCATTAGTCTCTGGCCGCTCGTCTGGTACGGATTCCTCACCATCACCACCAAGCATGAAGGACCAAACCTTTCTTGGGAACACCACGGACAAGAACAGCGCCCCCTACGCCGGCGAAGAGACGCCATTCTTCATGAGCTTTCTTTCGGCCTCCTCGACATCTTCCTCTTCTTCCACTCGTCGACGACTCACTCGCAAGAGAGATGACGCTTTTCCGGACCTCGACTCCCTCATTCCCTCGCCTGACCTGAACTCTGACGGCACTGCCGCGGCCGCCGAGCTCTACCCCCTCTCGGAATCGCAACCCATTCGCCTCTACAACCGTGGGCAAGCCACGGAACACTATGGATTCTACACCTACTTCGACCGCTCCATCTTCCTTTCTTCACTCGCTCCTCTTAATGGCAGTGGTATAGACGACGACGCGAACGACAGTGACGGCGGCTCAACAGAGGAGCAAGCCCGCGTGCGCTGCACCTGGGCGCAAACGCGCTTTCTTGTGCAGATCTGGACTCGAACAACGGATACATTGTTGAAGCCGTCATCAGTGTCCGCGTCCGCATCCGCCACCCCGACTTCTTCCGCCTCGAGCGCTTCATCCACCTCTACCTCCTCGTCCGCAACGGACTTCACCCGACCCGGTTCCTTCCCCTACCCTGTGACAATCACCTTGGACCGGCACGGCGGCGACGCGAAGAAGAAAATGGTGTACTGCTACGCGATGAAGGCGGATGAGAAGGTGAATTCCACGCTGGTAAAGCTGCAGGTTGAGGATCGGAGTTATGGTGGTCAGTTGGTGAATCCGGCGCCGGGAATCTTCGACTTTGCGAGTAATTCGTCTTCCTCTTCGGCCAATGAGACGAGCTCGGTGTATGGCGGGGTCGATGGCGGTACGGGAGGGTGTTCGTGTCAGTGGGTGAATTGGCTTTCGACATCTTGAATGGGATGATACGGGGAGGTAGACAAAAACTCACTCTGCTACATACTATATCTGTAACAACTTGGTTTCCTAATGAGATGACTCTTACCAGAAGATAAAAATGAGCTACGATTATATTCTACTCTCTTGGGACTATTTGAATGAGGTTTAACAATGCAGAATCAGGATCTGATTTTGTGTGTATCAACTGATGGAATTATTGTAGAGACTGTCCCTCCAAAACGCCCATTTCTCCTGTGTTCCCCAGATCAACTCCTTATTTGGCTTTTTTTGTTCACCCCCCCCCCCCCCCAAAAAGAAAAAGAATTATCACCTGCCCAATAGGTCGATACATATGCAAGGCCCTCAAAGTGCAATTAAAAAGGAAAAAGCAAAACAAATTCATTCAAACAAAAGCAGATGAGCCAAAGAGAAATTACCGCAGACAAAAGTCGACAAGTTTTCAAGGCAACAACACCGTTCGTTACCCGCAAACAGGTCTATATAAAGCAGTTATACAGCAGTAATGAGTGAGTGGTCTTCGACATCCATCCCCGGGGAACTTTTCCAGTCTCAATCCTAAACCAGCACCATCACCCCGACCACAATGCCCCCAACCAGGGACAGAGCCGAGGCGACCAACTTCGTGCTCCCGCTCGTGGTAAGACCGTTCGTGGCGCTCGGGGAGGCCGGAGCGGCACCACCACCCTCGCCGCCGCCGCTGCCGCCGCCACCGCTCCCACCGTTACCACCACCCTTACCCCCGCTGGAGGTCGCCGAGTGGGTGGCCTTCGGGCTGGTGGAGTTGACGAACCCGGAACTGGGCGTCGTCGCGGGGACGACGGAGGGGGTCACGATCGCGGGCGGCGCCGTGGTCAAGGGGATGACAGGCACGCTGGCCGGCACGGTGGCCGGCACGCTGGAGTTGGCGGGGATGGGGAACGGGGGCACGACGATCGCGGGGACGGTGGTTGCAGTGGGTTCCTCTGTCGCAGCGGGGGTCTCGGCCGTGCTGAGGACGACGGCGGGCGCTTGGGTGGTGGGCTGTTGCTCGGTCTGCACGGGCACCGGGATGGGTTCGGTGGCGCCGCTGGGCGTGGTCGGGACGCTGATGGGGATGATGGCGGGCGTAGTGCCGGGCTGCGTGGCGTTCTGGCGCGCGTAGAGGTTGCCGTGGCGGGCGTGGGCTTGGGCGGTGCCCGCGGCGATGGCCAGGGCCACTGCAAGATGGTTGGAGATGTGCATTGTGGTGTTTCGTTGCTTTGGGAGCGGAACTTGAAGAAAACAGCAGTGGTTTGACTGGGACTTGAGTGGGGACTGGGGCTGTTTCGCTTGAAGCAAAGAGGAGGAACGATGAACGATGCGATGATGCAAGGATGAGAGAGGTTGTGATGGGAGGGGTGATGGAAGGAACCTTTATAGCTTTTTTCTGTCGATCGAATCCGGTAGCTGGTCCTCTGGACTTTGGCCTGGCTGTTGTTGCTTTCGTTTTGGGGTTGTTTGTTTGTTTGATTCTAAACATCCCATCTTCGAGTAGGGAAGAAGTCCATTGTTCGAAAGCCAGATTCGACATAACACAGTACTGCATGCGGAGAAGCAAAACAGACACCGGGTTCGATGCAGAGATGCTCTGAATACTGATGGATCCGGATCAGGCTCCATGGCTCGTCCACAATGGTGGATCTTCTCGACTGAAGTCCTTGTCGAGAACAGTTGATAGCATGTGACTTGGATCCTCGCTCAGCCCTATCCTTGCCGAAATGGGAACCCGTTGCCGGAAGCAGGGACCAAGCAGGAATGTTGATCCATTCTTGGACTACTTTTAGACCAGCAGGTACCTTAGTAGTAAGCTTCTGGAGCCCTGATGGCACTTTATGGATGATTTGGAAGGTTAGTCAGCTCTCAGGTGCTCCTCAAGACTTCCGCAAGTGATGGTGTGGCGTTCACGGTTGTGTACGCTTTCAACGGGCGCCCGAGAATTCGCCAGCTGAGTCCGGTTGGCCGCGTGTACAGTACAGTTGAGCCCTACGTTGGAGAACATTTGCTCAGAGGGCTCGGGTGTGAAGAACCGTATCGATATTCTAGGATAGGCTGCGTGTAGACGCTGTGTTGAGTCTTGTGAGTAAAGCTTCATCATGGTTATTTGCGGTATGCGGAAAGACAGTATTTGCCATTTGATACGGAGAGGTGACGACCATGCTAGTACTGCAGTTAGAGTGGAGTTAACTCTTTCTGCCTTCAACTGCTTGTCGCAGGTTTCATGGGCTACAATCGAGTAGATAGTATGGGGTATGGGATAAGAATCGAGCATCGAAGCTGAAGGGCGGGCGAACCGTGGGATGATCCCCTTTTCGGCACCGGCCCGGAGATCGCCCGAACTCCAATTGATCTCCCTATCAATCAACCAAGTTGACCTATCCACTAATCATCATTCATTCGCTTCTCTTTCTTCTCAACCTGTCCATCCCTGCTTCCCACGCCTGTGTTAACGCGTGTTTCTTTCACATCCGGCCCCATGCCAGCTATTATCCCCCATGCTTTCACGACGTAATAATCGCGACGCTTCCCTTCTTTCCCCCGGCGGCTACGACGAGGATGCCGAGTCGCTACGTTCCCCGTCAGAGCAGGACTCTGACTCCGAAGACGACGAATTCCTCCGCCGATCTCGAACCACTCTAGAACTTGCAGAACACGATCGCACGGTTCTAGACGATGAAGAAGAGACCGAAAAGCTGTTGACCAGAAGCGGTCCGACTCATGGCCTCCGCCGCATTTTTAGCCCCAATAGCAGCAGTGTCCGGATCGGGAAGCAGGAACGCAGGCGACAAAGGAGGCAAGCCAGGAAGGATGCGCGCAGAGGGCGTCTGCGAAACTCGCGGGAATCAGCAGAGATGCTGTTCGAGATGGAAGAGGGCCACCCGGACGATGAGAGCTCTCTCTTGAGTTCCTCCTCATCGGACCTGGACCGTCGGCTCAAGGATTACACATCCGCCCCAGTATGCCACCACAGGGTCCCCCAGTGCAGTTGCATATGATCTGTAGTGTTGCTAACCTGCCTTGGTTGCAATAGCCACCGCGTGTTTCATGGCGTCGACTCTTGTTGATATTCTCCACCGTCCTGGTTCTCTTCTTCATACTCCTATTAGGAGCCTACAAGGCATCCACGAAATTTCGAGCCTCACATTCCTCGAAACGTTTCTTATCCAACGGCACCGCTCTTTTTGCGCCTACTACAATCCTCATCTCTCTCGATGGCTTTCGTGCGGACTTTTTGAACCGGGGCTTGACCCCGGCCCTCAACTCCTTGATCGCGAACGGTGTCTCTCCGCAATACATGCTGCCCAGCTTTCCTAGTGTGACATTCCCGAACCACTTCACCCTCGTGACTGGACTATATCCCGAAAGTCATGGAATCGTTGGAAACACATTCTGGGACCCAGATATGGAGGATGAGTTCTACTACACTCATCCCAGCGTTAGCATGCAGCCTAAATGGTGGAATGCCGAGCCTCTTTGGATGACGGCTGAGAATCAGGGAGTGAAGGCTGCCATCCATATGTGGCCAGGTTCGGAGGCACATATCGGTGGTGTCGAGCCAACATTTCTCGATCCCTACAATGGCTCTGAAGCACTTTCGCGAAAGGTTGACCGCATCCTGGGCCTGTTGGACCTCCCTGGCGTGGAGGACCAGACGCAATCGTCCCGCCCGCAGTTCATTGCTGCTTACGTTCCCAATGTCGACGCTGACGGGCATCAGTACGGGCCTAATAGCACGGAGACGCGGGGCACAATAGCGAAGGTTGACTCCATGCTTGCTAGTCTTCTTACAGGCCTCCAAGATCGCAACTTGACTGAGATCGTCAACGTCGTGATTGTTTCTGACCATGGGATGGCCAGCACTGCTACCGAAAGATTGGTGCAGCTGGAAGACCTGATTGACCTAAGCTTGGTTGCCCGCATTGATGGCTGGCCTTTGCGTGGGCTTCGCCCCAAGCGGCCGGAAGACCTTGCAGTTCTCCAGAATCAGCTCGAGAGCGTGGCATCCAACTTCTCTCATGCGCTGGAGGTTTACACGCGCGAGAACATGCCCAAACGATACCATTTCCAGAACAACGACCGGATTGCACCTCTTTGGGTGATCCCCAAGGCAGGTTGGGCAATTGTCGAACGGCCAGATTTCGATGCTCAGCAAGCCCTAGAAAAAGGAGAAGTCTATCACCCAAAAGGAATCCATGGGTACGACCATGAACACCCCTTAATGCGGGCGATCTTCATAGCAAGAGGCCCTGCGTTCCCCCACGAACCTAATAGCCGATTGGAAGTCTTCCGTAAGTACTTATTTCGCTTCTGTACGCTTTAGCCGGTAGCTGACTCGTTTAGAAAACATCAATGTCTACAACCTGGTCTGTGACTCCCTCGGGGTGACACCACACCCCAACAATGGAACTCTTCGTCTCCCTCTGAGGCCGGTGGGCCTACATTCTGACGAGGATTCGCCGACCCTCGAGGATCCTTCTGATCCACCATCAGTCACAGCCACCGTCGTCGAACTCGTTAAGCCATCGACGACACCAACCACGACCTCGTCCATGATTCTTGCCACACCCACGTCTTCAGCTGACATGGCGGTTGATACGCCACCGGAGACTAGCTCTCAAAGCGAGGACGAAACGGGTCCGAACTGGTGGGGAACGTTGTGGGAGAAGATAGAAGAGGCTAAGGACTGGGCGACTGATGTGTTTGACACTGTCAAAGATAATTTTGTGACGGGGTCGTCCTAGATGATGATTCTTGTTCATTCATTCATTCATTCATCTATCACATTTTCCCCTTTTCTCATTACATCTACACCGACCTCTCAGTCAGTCTTGTTGGGTGTTCTGGTCGGAGTACCACATACAGCATATATTAATTCGAGATACCCACAATTGATACTAGAAATATTGAACTTCAAATGTTGACGATTTTCCGAAATGGGAGCCCGACTGCAGGATGACATCATGTGCAAGACAATGCGGCTGAGCTGAGCCTCCTTTTTGTCCCTTTGTGGCGATCCTTTCCTTCCACTGACTCTCACTGCAGCCTATTAAGTGACACTGTCGGTGACTCAAGCCTCGTTGCAGCCCATCCAACCACAGCCCTGTCGGCTTGAGTTACACTGATCTAACAACCATGGTGCAGCAATGTGGTCTGGAACCATTCGGCATTCCCTAGCTCGTGGCAGCCTGACACACTGTCGTGCTGCCTGGCTGACCACAAGAGCGAGAAAGCTATAAAGAGTGAATTTCTTCCAGCAAGGTCTCACCCTTTCGACCTGCTCTACCTGCTCTACCTAGGGACCTTTGTCTCTGTTGTTGAGCGCAGCCTTGTCTGCTGCCTGCGTCCCGGTCAAGCTTGAATACAAGGTACTGTACTTTGTTCAGCTTTGGATCCGAGAATTGATCCGATTGTAATACACACACGGTTCATGATTCGTTCCTATAAAATCCTCTCGAGGCCCTCTCAAGCATGCTTGGTTTCTGCAACGAGCATTCAGCTGCGGCTCCTATACTCATCACCATGAATTCGACCACTCCAATCTTCAATACCTCCGAAACCGCCATCCTGGAGGGGCTCATCCCCGGGTATGCGTTCATCTCGCGGCTCCTGTTATCATACCTCCATATCGACCTTTCGCTCTACCTCCCATACATCTTCACAGCCATTAGTATCTACTTTGCCTCCGACCATGTGTCCCACCATGTTCAGAGCCTGTTCCGGAGCCATCTCATGGCGTCAACTGAGGTCCGCATCTACGACGATGTCTACATTTACCTCATGTTCTGGATTTCGCGCCACCGATGCATGCAGAGCACCAGGCACATCTATGCCAGCACCCAGCTCTCCGTTGATCGGTACTACTACGACTCGGATGACTCGGACGACGAATCCGAAGAGGAGATCGATGAGGAAGAGATCGCAAGGAGCAGTTTTGATGAGTACTGGAACAAGATGATCGCCCGGGACCGCACAAAGCGCTTACGCTTTACACCAGCTCATGGAGTCCATCGCTTCCGGTACAAGAACCGCCTGATCTTCCTCAATCGCGTTCGCGACCGGTCCACCAACTCCTTGTACATGCAGGACAACTCAGAACGCCTGATCATCTCGTGCTTTGGACGGGACACTACGCTCCTTAAGCAGCTGCTCGCGGAGGCGCAGGCGGCGTATGTTGCACGCGACGGTAACAGTACGGTCATCTATCG